GTTTTACACTTTAAAGTTTTCTTGTGTGTGGTTCAATACAAGCATGATAAGAATTTCCTTGTTATTATAGCAAGCCTCAAGGATAACACGAACGCGCTCATTGTCAAGTACCTGCACGATGTCCGTCTTGTGGTCGTCCTCATTCAGCATCGCGAAAGTCTGAAACGAAAACTGTCGCGCGTGGGCGCTGCCAGTCTCATCTACGCCCCAGACATGAATCGGGTCCCTCAAATACATCGCAAGAGCATATAAAAAATAAGTCTCATCCTAGAAAGTGCTGGGGGACGCCTTGCTTGCGAATAGGCCCCTCGAGGCCGCATAATGAGCATTTAGTGCAGCGGTCGCCGCCTACACAGAAACCTGGGGCGTGGAAGTCGGGTACAGGCGTTTCAATTCATGTGCAGGGTCGATCAGCAATGATAGCACAATGTACCGCATGTTAGATGATATAATATTCATAGCCTGCTGTTTAATGGCAATATTAACCAGGCTGATATCTTCCATACTAATCAAGACGAAAACTTCGCCCCAGTACAAACAACAACGAAGAAAGTCACATCTAGACCAAAATCACATCACCCGAAAGCAACATAGTCTCGATCCTAACACACACTTCCTTACCGTCATCACTATTAACCGAGAGCTCATTCTTCACCCTTCCGAGCACAGAAAGATAAATTACGATCCTCACTTCAACAGCCACTCCTTGACGCCGATGGTTCCGTCATCAGTACCTGCAGCTCGTATGCAGCAGCTTTAACTCCCTGCAGTGCGAGCTGTGGCGTGCGCTTAAGCAGCGTCACCGCGCGCTCCGGCACCTTGGGCAGCTCTTTCTCGACTTCCTGCCCGCGTTTGGGACGCCGCAGGATAAACCGTTAATCTTGGGCATTCGTTGTGGAGGCAAAAATGCATAGAAGATGCTCTGCCCATTAAAGGTAACGTTGACCTGCAATCCATGCAAACTTTCAAATCAGTAGAAAACTAGCCTGGAATACCCTCCGTATTCCTGCCCCACGCCCATATCGTTTGCAACTCTTGACACCGGGCTGAGTTCTCCATGTATCGTTTAAGCCAGTGCCTCCATCACAACATCAAACAACCTCAAGTCCAGAGTCCGTAGCGGAATGTATAGGGGCCAAAAAGAATCGTGGGAAGAAGGTTCTCCTGACGAGATGCTGCGCTTGTCCTTGGACTGCCTCGTAGGCGCAGACAGTTCTACTGCAACCGATCGGAAGTTATCTTCGTGGTCTGGGAACTAGACCGGGATTAATTGGCGTCCATTTTAACGTCCTCTATAACGTAATCTCTCGTTGTTGGCTGTGCCTCATTTCCAGCAATTTGAGACTGGGTAAGGGAAGGTAAGCGGTCGTCCTCATGATCATCGCCGTCGTCTGAGCTCTCCGCGAGATCTTCGTATATGGTACGGTGAAGCGTGAGCCCCGTATCAGGCGCCGCGAAAAAAGCTGGTGTGGTTGAGTTTAACGTAGTGGATAAGAAAGTCTGTGATCAGTCGACGGTATGTGTCTTCTGAGCACTTGAGGCACTCTCGGCGAGTGAAGCACGTAGGGAGGAGAAATGGGCCGAATTAGGAGTAACGGCTTCTAGATAAACTCTTACTCGAGGATGCTGATCGTGTTGGCGCGCAGATGCATCCTGGGTCTTTTGAAGGGGTGATGCTTAACCTCAATGTGAAAGCACTCTTTAAGTCGGTCTCACTGTTCCGCTAATGTGTGCCAAAACAGTACCACGCCTGTCCAAATCGCGATTTGGGCCCTGTCGGCGCTGTGTCCGTCCTACGACTGACCATCCGGTCGCATCCGTTGCAGCACCGCGATGTCCCGAGCGTCCATTAGTCCGAGAATACCTTCCGTTACCTTGTACCGGAACTGGTATGGCCTTCAGTATCTGCATCAAGTCAGATTTTCCAGCTGCAGCAGTCGCGGAAGCGATGGTGCCTAGTATCCGGTCCAGATCATCAACCTTCGTACAGGCGTTGAAAGATGAGGACCATTCGACATAACCTCCCCTACATACTTGCGCTGTCGGCTTGCTCGCAGGGATACAATCGATCGTGTGGGGCGCAACAGCGCGCTTGTAGATGTGCAGGGCTGAAAAAAATACTACAGGGGGCCGTGGCGACACGCTGGAAACGTTTAATCGTAATTACTACATCTATCACCTTTAACCAGCGAAGTGACATTGAGGAGCGTAGAGGGGCACTCTATTCCGGGTAAGATTACCATCCCATGATCGCTATCATGTTCCGCAAGACCCTTCACACCAGGATGTCATATACCCAAGATACTTGGCCTAGCAATCTGGCTAAATACGGTATACAGCAAATAAAATCTAACCACTCAGTCCCAAGTAAATTGACAGCAAAGTGTCTCGCCACCTATGGCAGCGTTCGCGTTCCTGGAATGTATTTATCAGCTGACAACAAGGTGATGGTACAATCACGCAGTTTGAGCTCCGTTTTTTTTTAAACGGAGGCTTCTCTATTAGACATGAAGACAAACGAAAACGTGTGTTGCCGTCATAGAATACCTTTTGTGCTGCTTGAACAAAAAGCAGCATCTTGGTCATGTCGCCCTCAGTCCGTGCATGGGCCGCACTAAGCTTGCGTAGAATAGACCGTCGGTGGAGCAATTTGCCTAGCCGGGCTGTAACGGGGCACCCTGAAGCTTGTACTGGTGACAGTACAAGCTACTTATTCTGATGACAGAATAAGGCGGTGCCTCGTAACTTCACGTACACTCGTACGTGCAGAGGAAGACGGTAAGAAGAAGCGAGTACTCGGTTAGAGTAAAAAGTAGAACTGTATTTATAATAGTTAATGTCTGCAATAAATCACTATTTATCTTCATCTAACTATGTCTAAATACAAATGTGTAAATCAGTTATCTGCTCACCACTCATTGCGTGCGTCTGTCGTGGCGCGTCTTCGTTGGTTGATATAATGGCCTATATCAACCAATTAGGAACTACTCGTAAGTGCTACAGAATATTGTCCTTATGACAATATTCTGAGAATATAACTCTTATAGTTATATTCTATTAACAATTTCTTATAAATTGTTATGTAACGATTCACCCCGTTACATCACCCCCCCTTTACCATCAGTCACTTTAGTGACTGATTGACTAAATGGATACTCGTCCCAAATCATTTGGGACGGGGTTTGCACTTGTTGGTCCGCGTCCACTTTCCAACATCTCATCGCATGGTAAACAAGCCCATGCGATGCGCGAGCAAGGCCGCCGAGAGCGCGTCTGCACGTCTCTGTGCGGACGCCGAAGCAGAAACTACAGCAACTGATGTCCCATCGGTTGCTGAATCGACTCAGCCTGTATCACCTGGTGATGCAGGCGCTGGTCATGAAGACACTCGTGTCTTCACAGAGTACGAGCTCGGTGTCTCGTACTCTCCTGATACGGATGACGGATCCGTATCGACGGCAATTGAATCCAAGCCGCCTGCCAAGCGTGGCATGGACGATGCTTTGCGTCGCAGCATCTTTGGTTCATCTGATGAATCAGATGAACCATCGCCGAAGCGAAGGCGCTTGAGGTCGCGAGACTCGGGCGCTAACAGTGGTGTCGGTTCTCCAATGGACACCACTTCGCAACGAGGTGCCAGTACTTCTGTCGGCACGTCGCAAGAAGAGCGGTACCGCAGTGTGTTGCGTCTCGCTCCCGAGAAGAAGGCATGGATGCCTCCCAAATTCGTCATGGATCACTTGTCGGCGACGATGAGTGATCGTTATCGAACACGATTGTTCGATTCGTCAAGGATTCATCACCTTGACCCCAGCGCGAAAGACTATCGCGCTGAACATGAGTTCTTCATCGATGCTTTCTTCAGACATCGATGGTACAGTGGGAATCACAAACGTGATGGTCCCTCACTACTTCAGGCGTGGAACGCCTACATCCATAATCTCGAGGATGTAGGTCGTGACGCTTGGAACGACAAACTTATCAAAGCTCGTGATAAGTTTGAAAAGCGAACCCCGACAGGTGCACGCTATAAGCTGCATCGTCTGTCAAGGGAGAAAGGATTACCCTGCCTCTCTTGGGGAGACTCGTGCCCATGTTGTGTGAACAACTCTGCACGAGCACCTAAGGAGGCTTACCTCCTTACCAGCCCGTGGTGGCGCGTACGTGTCTCTACTGAGATGTACGAAGGGATTGACAACCTGAAATCCCTTTACGACCGTGCCGGGAAGACTTTCTCCGGCGGTCCTTCTGCGGCACAGGATGTGTCGCGTCGTACTGCTCGACCAGACCCAGTACGTCAACCATCAATTGGGAGCGGGGCTCCCAAGTATTCCATGACGGGGGATAGCCGCGCCACCGGACGAGGTAACTCGTCCGACGTCCGTTCACGTCGCGGTGGTTCAACAGCTGCTCTACTAGATAGCGCTGGCCACCGCGAGAGTCCTCTAATGGAGGTGGAGGAGGAGGAAAGACGCTCTCCACACGATCATGTGGATCGGTGTGTTCCCGAGAGCTTCTTTGATCGCGTAACGCAAGGGTTACGCGACGATCTCGAGCATGAGCGGAATAGGCGTCTCCAGATGGTGGACACTGCCTCGAAGCATCGAGCTGAGTTTGCCTTTGCTCAGCTTGAGAACGAGAGATCTCTGACATCTCTTCGTGACGAGCTAAGGGTAGCTCGTGGGGATGTTGATCGGTCTCGGGCTGAGATAACTGCTCTTCAGACCCTTGTTGATGCCCACCATCGGGAGCACAAGGCTCTCTGCGAGATGCTTGAGCGCAAGGGCGTTCTTCATCGGAAGAAGCAGCGTACTGATGGTACGGCTTAAGCCGACCAACGTAAAACGTGGGATGCGTTCGCATCTTACGTGGTAACTCGATCGTGTATGCATTGCCTAGGCGGTGCAATACACGAAATGGGCCAATGTACTTGGGTAGTAGTTTACTGCTACCCAAGTTAGTCACTACATGTTTTGGTAGATTAACCGTAGACAGTAGGACTAAGTCACCTTTATTAAATAAAAGAGTGTTTGCCCTTCCATTCTTGTCAGCGTTTTGCTTTTGCTTATCCACCGCTTCGGCGATGGAGTCTTGCACAAAACGGACTACCGTTTCACGAGCCAGTATGAACTCATCTGATGACTCGTTAGCTTCAGTGTGCTGTGAGCGCACTGCAGCGACAACAACCTTTTCTTCAGTGAGGGCTTCCGCACTCTCACTGGGATCATTGTCTTCAGTGAGGGCTTCCGCACTCTCACTGGCATCATCTTCTTCGATATTGATGTTATCGATATCGGCATCAAACGCAATGACTTCTTCGTCAGAGCGTGATGAGCGTGAACCAAATCGGTTTTTGCTCGCGCGAGTCCCTCCCCCCCTTAAACCAGAGTTACACTCTAGTAAGGTGGGTACACGCGGATGGCGCAAGCCATTCACGTAAAACGGTGTATGTGTCGTGGACGCATGCACCGAGTTGTTGATGGCAAACTCTACCATCGGCAAAAACTCACTCCAAATCTTAAAGGAGTGTACGTATCCTCGAAGTATCTCTTCAAGGACACGATTGGCACGTTCCGTCTGACCATCTGACTCTGGATGATCAGATGTTGACATCTTCAAGCGCGTTCCGAGTGATTTGAACACGGAACGCCAGAAATCAGCAGTGAATCGTGGATCTCTGTCTGATACGAGTTCACGGGGCAACCCATGAAGTCGGAAGATGGTGTCAATAAAGACACAAGCACAGCCACTTGCCGTGATTGTCTCTGGTACAGCCACAAGGTGTACCATTTTGCTGAGTCTGTCAACAAATACGAGAATACCCGTATTCCCGCGTGCGTCTTTGGGTAACCCGAAGACGAAATCCATTGAGATGGATTCCCAGCACTCAGCCGGAACCGGTAGAGGCTGTAAAGGTGCACGCAGTGAAGGACTTGACTTCACTCGTTGGCAGACTTCGCATGCGCGAACATACTTTCGCACAAACTGATACTGGCGGGGCCAGTAAAAGTCTCGACTTACCGTGAGATATGTTTTCTCTCGGCCACGATGTCCTCCTATAGGAGCATCGTGATACTCGAACATGATCCGCAAACGCAGATCAATATCATCTGGAATGACAACACGTGGTGTGTCACCAGAAACGGCTGTATAGTACAGTAAACCGTTACGAGTAGTGTATCGATCTGATGCAGATCGATACGCAGACGACAATCGTTTCAACGATTCTCGAGATGGTTGGGAGAGATGTGACAACAACTTCACTATCTCACCATCTTGGGCGTATGCCCGCCTCACATCATCATACAACGTTGTAGATGGAACTGAGGACGTCATAACCGCAACAGTGACTGTCTCACTGTTGGGTTTCGCGACTGTTTCAAAGTCGGGACGACGTGAGAGTGCATCAGCGACGACATTAAGTCGTCCTGGTTTGTACTCGACCGTAAAGTTGTATTCTGCAAAGAATGACAACCACCGCGCCATTCGTTGTGAAAGGTGCGGGCTGTTCACTGCCGTGCGTAAGGACGCATGGTCAGTGTAAACAACGAAGGGTCTATCTCCTAATAGATAGACTCTGAACTTCGCGAGTGCATACTTCATGGCAAGGAGTTCCTTGTCATGCACTGGATAGTTCCGCTCAGCTGGTTGCAGCTGACGCGACTGATAGCAGACGACGCGTTCAACGCCTTCAAGGTCGTACTGCATTAATGCACAGCCGATTGCGAAATCGCTGGCATCACAGACCACATGAAATGGCCTGTCCTGATCGGCTATTGCTAGGACTGGGGATTGTATCAAGCTCTGCTTGATACCCTCAAAGGAGCGTTGACATTCAGCGTTACATAACCACCTCTCGTTCTTTTTCAACAAACGAGAGAGGTGTACAGTCATCTCGGCGTAATTGCGTGAATACTTATGCAAATACGCCGCTAGCCCAAGGAATTTTCGAAGACCTTTGACATCGACCGGCACGGGCCAGTCGGTGATCGCCTTGATCTTTTCGGGATCAGGACGTACACCGTTCTTACCAACGATGCACCCAAGAAGTGGTATTTCGCTTGCTGCAAATATACACTTCTTGAGGTTTGCATACAATTGATGCTTTCGCATGATTGTAAGAACTTGTCGGACGTGGTACTTGTGAACCTCAACGTCCGACTTTCCATCCATAGCTCGACTATGGATGAATACGTCATCGAAATAACTCGGCGCGAATTCTCGTACTGGCCTCAACAGATGTGATACACACCTGTTGAACGTGGCAGGGGCATTACTGAGCCCTTGTGGCATTACTAGCCATTCCCAGAGCATGCCGCTAGGCGTGCTAACTGCGGTATAGGGTATATCCCGTTCCCGCATTAGGATTTGATAGAAGCCATCCATCAAATCCATGGACGAAAAGATGGTACTCTTTGACATACCATCAATGATTACGTCCTTCCTCGGTATCGGCGTCTGAGCCGGTACCGTTGCAGCGTTCAATTTGTTAAACGCGTGCACTATCCGCCACCCTCCTGTTGCTTTTCGCACACAGAAGGTCGGAGAGCTATGTGGGGAAGTTGATTCCCTCACATGGCCCGCTGCTAAACGATCGGCAAAGAAAATGTCGATCGCAAGTACTTGTTCACGAGGCAGTGGCCACTGCTTCCAGACACAGTACTTCGAGCCTGGTTTAAGCTCGACTTCGTGTCGAATACCTTTATCCTTCGGTAATTCGCACGGAACAGTTTCAGGGAATACATCCTTGAATTCAACCAAATCTTCATAGAGAGGATTTTCCTTGAGCGATTCCCATGATTGGGACTCATATCGCTCAATTCGTGTCTTTTCATCTAGGGCACTCTCGTCCATAGATGAACTACTGAGAACTCTCTCGTTCTCAGTAAACACTGTTGCTGACCTTATGTCGGTTACATACTCGTCTTCAGCGACGAGTATGCAGATCTGCTTGACTTTGCCACTACGCAGATCACGCAAGAATCTTTTATGTTCGAGCGTTGGCAACTGAGTGATCTCCGAAGTTAACTTCGGAGGCGCAATCAGATCAAGTGTATAAGCGCCTACACATGATCCGTTATTGACTATGACATTCAATGTCTCTGTCATTTCCTGGGGACTTATTCCCTCAGGCTTCGAAGGACTTATTCCTTCGTCTTCCCGGGGACTTATTCCCGCGGGTTTCGGGGAACTTATTTCCGCCGTATTTGTAATCTTGGGACTTATTCCCTTTACTTCCTCTAGCTGGGGTTGCGCAACCACAGCGAGATCCTCTACGAAAGACTCTCCAGTCGATCTAGGATTATCGTTTCGCTTAACCTGAGCGATCAATTGTTTCTCTTCTAGATGTTCCCCTCTAGGGATACATCTTTGTCCCAGTCCACCCGACTTATTCGAGTGGTGGACCTTCGGCGCAGCCTGTGTTTCCTCACAGCCGCCGGAACTTTGCTCCGAAGTGTAACCGTTTGGTACACTAAGGTTTTGTGCAGTCGTACTAACGACCGTACCACAAGTGAGGCCATCGCACTCACTCGTAGTACATCCACACGCTTGTGGACGCTCCAAAACTTTCATCAGATGGCCATCTGATGAACAAGCGGCAGGCATCGTTACTGTCCGATGTTGCCAGTTTACCCGTGGTTCGTACCTTCTGAGCCACGGTATTCCAAGGATGACATCAAATTTGTCATCCAAATCCAATACGATAAAGTCATCGTCGTATTGGGTATCTTCTAGCGTATAGTGAATCTTCACTATACGCTTCATATTGGTTACGGATGCGCCTGTCGCAAGACGTACCACATCCTCGTAGGAGGTGTGTCACATTCACTGAATTTAAAGTGACCATCTTCTAGCGATTGGCGTCGCACAAAATTGTTGGACGCCCCACAATCGACTAGAGCTCGAAGGGACAACTTATTCGTCACTTCGAGTTTCAAGGTAATGAGTGAGATCTCATTACCTAGAGCAGCAACGCACAATATCTGTGTGTTGGGAGCAACCTTCATCAAGAGGCCTACAAACTCTCTTGACGTTGCTGAAACAGTAGGGTGCTCCGCACCTACTGATCCTGTCCGTTTTTTGACGGTCCATCCCGTTGTTGCGTCTTTGCACCAACTGCGGACCCTCGTCCCTGCCCCTTTCTCATGGGTGGACGGTCACTACGCCCAGTGTCGCGAGACACTGGACGAGGGGCACTACACTCGTAAGCGTAGTGTCCTGTCTTTTGACATCTGTTGCATCTCTGCAACTTCTTGTAGCCTGTAGAGCGAGCCTTCTCGCTCTCTACATAACAGAGTTCCATCGGCTCTGGACCTCCGTTGTCATATCGTCTCGGTTGACGATATGATGTCGAGCTGGCGCGAGCCTGTCTCAGACTGAAGTCTTCCTGCTCCGCAATGGAAATGGCTTGTTCTAGTGAATCTAGTTCAAGCCGGAACAGGTGAGTCTTGACGGGACCATCCGCAAGACCCTGCATGAACACCGAAACCAACGTGTGTTCATCCACCGGATTGGAACTTATACAACTCGTGAGATGTCGTATATGTTGAGCGTAAGCGTGCACATCACGCTTACCCTGCTTGAGCTTCAAGAGTTCGGTTCGAGCTCTGAACTCAGCTCTAGGCGGTTCAAACGTTTGTCTGAGCCGCGACTTGAAGACTTCCAACGACCCAAACGCATATGGGTCGTGCAGCTTGAGCCCCAGTGCCCAAGTCTTGGCACGTCCTGCCAGATTTGACTGGGCAAATGCAACTTGCATATCCCCGTCGTCGATGCGACGCGCCCTTATGGCGTCATCCAATTCGACGAACCATCTCAGGAGGGAGTCTTCTTCGACCCCCCTATACTTTGAGATGTCAATCTTCAAAGTCTCGGGCCGACGCGAGTGCATCGACCCGCCAGCAGCAGCCTGCTGCTGTCTCAACAGTTCAAACTGTTGAGCACCTTGTTCTCTCAACAACTCTGCTTGTTGAGAACCTTGTTGGTGAAGCAAGGCTACTTTCTCGCGTTCTGCGTCAAGTTCATTTTGAATGAACTTGGCGATAGTAGCATGTTGGGCATCTCTATTGAGAGCCTCTAGCATGACGCTAACAGCATGGATGCCCATGGTCGAACCCATTCGTTCAACCGCATCCCATTCGACATCGCTCAAATGGGAGTAGCCGTCACGCGTAGCGTGAAAGCTTTGGTCATCTTCATCATCCAACATATTCATGTTGGATGTGAACGCGGTCCTTGGACGGACTACAAAGTGCTACCAGGTGTAACGGGGCACCCTGAAGCTTGTACTGGTGACAGTACAAGCTACTTATTCTGATGACAGAATAAGGCGGTGCCTCGTAACTTCACGTACACTCGTACGTGCAGAGGAAGACGGTAAGAAGAAGAAGCGAGTACTCGGTTAGAGTAAAAAGTAGAACTGTATTTATAATAGTTAATGTCTGCAATAAATCACTATTTATCTTCATCTAACTATGTCTAAATACAAATGTGTAAATCAGTTATCTGCTCACCACTCATTGCGTGCGTCTGTCGTGGCGCGTCTTCGTTGGTTGATATAATGGCCTATATCAACCAATTAGGAACTACTTGGAAGTGCTACAGAATATTGTCCTTATGACAATATTCTGAGAATATAACTCTTATAGTTATATTCTATTAACAATTTCTTATAAATTGTTATGTAACGATTCACCCCGTTACACGGGCCCTCGCCGGAACGTCAGCTATCAACGTCCCTTTGACCTATATCTGGTGATATGCCAAGGAAGCCGCTTTTTAACCTAGTGTGGTGCATACCAGAAAGGTGGGCGGACCGGGAAGGTCAAGACGGCGCTCACGTAGGCAGTTAGCGCAGTCTGTTCATCCAAGGTCATCGGTCAAAGAGAGAAGTCATCGTAAAGCGGGTTATCCTTCGTTGCGATGTAAGAAAGCCTATGCTCGACCGTAGATTCGGCTACTGTAGCAGTAGCGTGAGCAACACCGATCTCCGCAGCCGTGGTGCCCCCTCTGGTGTCCATACCGCAGTAGAGTGGCCGGCCGCGGTCAGTTTGCCGGAATGGGTAGGTTTAGTAGTGCCATCAACGTTTTCGTCCATGTTCATGTCACTGACCATAGGGGCCGACTAGAGGTCCTTCTCGGTTTAAGCAGGTTCTAGAGCTAGCTCGGGACTCTTTAAGACGGATACATTTCCAAGGAAGGAGAAACGTCCGGAGGATCTGGCAGGCGAGGGGGGCGACCCGCTCTCGTGGAGCTGTCGCCACCACGTATTTTCGTGTTAGTATCGAACTTAACAACCAAAAGGGCTGATTACAAGGCGCTGGAGTTGTGCCATGGTAGTTTGAAAAGTAGACTCTCGCTCGCTTTGACGAGCTAGTTCTTCGAGCTCGTCGTCCGCTTCTGCATCAAGCGCTTCGCGTAGCTGCTTGTCTGCAATGGCGGTCATCATCTTAATAACTCCAAAGTTTTGAGTAGTGATGATACTTGCTTGTTTAAAATGATGATCTTGTGACCTTTGGTCTCATCGATTTCCGAAGATGTACCCTCGGGTGTCTCTTTTACCGAGCGACGCATTTCTCCGTGTCGTGTACACCCGATATGAAGGTCCAAACTTAGTTACATCTGCAACGCTTACTACTTTTTACTTTAGAAACTCCAAAGGATACTTGCGGCCTAGATTTCGCTCTCGGTAATTTATCTACCCAAGCCAAAGCGCTGACAGAACAAGTCGAGATTGTGGTATTCGCCGCCGCCTGTCCAGAGGGTGTGCACTTTAACGTTTAACTGCCTCTCGAAGATACAAAAAAGTGTTCGAACATCTTCGCGGCCTGGTCTTTGGTCTTTTCCATGAAGACCCGCACGCAGCTTATCTTGTGATCCACAATGTTGATCAACAACCGGTTCTTCTTCTTTTCCATTAGTAATATCGGTCCCTTTGAATCACTGCAATTTACACTCCCGAATACATTGATAGGCGCGTCACGACGGCTGTATTTTTTGGGCTGCGCGCTCTTTGCTTGTTTGCTTTCCAGGCATGTCAACATATATCACAAAGTTAGTTTGTGAAAACATCACGACCTTCTCCCTCACCGTCACCGCGTGTCATCCGTACTTGTCCCCCAGACGACATCCTCGCAGCTCTAGTGTAACGAGGGAGATGAGATTGATCGCAAGATGCGGCACATAGCATACGTCGCTCGGATCGATCCTGACGTTCTTCTGGTCCACCATCACGCGCAGATTAAATTTATCGTGTTTCTTCACACGCAGCGTGCTGCTGTCTGGAAGCGTGAATCTCTCTAGATTGTAGCACGCTGTCCAGTCGTATAGCACCATACTGTTTAGTACCAGGTGCCGACTAGCACCCGATTCCATCATCCAGTCGTAGTTGGTAAGTGCACCGGATACGAAGCCGGCCAATCACCATATCATTGTCTTTTGTTGAGAATACGCCGCTTCGTGCAGTCGTTTCATGTTGGGTTCATGGTGATGATTTCTGTGTCAGGGTGTTTCATGGTGGTTATTACGGAAGAAGGTTATGGATCGCGGTTACATGATGAGATCACAGGATGTCGTTACATTAAGGCTTAGACTTAGCTAAGGGTAGTGAACTAAGGACCTTAAATATATTCACTTCGGCTTTTACATCCAACTACCCCAACAGGTTAACAGCCGCAACTCGGACAGCGGCGTCAAGACCAAGAACGCCTCGCCTCGCACATGATGAGTACCAAGCGCGCCGAAGTCCTCCTAGGAAGTGGAAATTATTTCCATTGGGAGTTCAATATGAGGATGTCGCTCGCCAGAAAAGGACTGCTGGCGCACGTGGAGGTGGTCAAGGCGGAGAGTGAGATAACGGAAGCTTGGTTAGTAAATGACGCAACGGCTCTCGGCATCATCGCGCAGGGTGTGGAACTACAACACCAGACAAAGATCCGTTCGTCGACGCGTGCTATTCAAGCGTGGGTAACACTTAGGGAGTTCTACAATCGCACTACACTATACAATCGGGTCACGATGACACAGCGCCTCCACGAATTCAAGATGGATGCTGGAACGGCCATGGCAAAGCATTTGGACGCTTTCGACGAGCTCGTTGTCGGTCTTCAGACGCTTGGAGAGCCTGTCGACGAGGCACGGCAGCTGGTAGTGCTACTGACCAGCCTTCCAGCCGAATACGAGCTGATATCGTCGATCATCGAGAACGTCAAGGATATCACGCTCATCGAGGTGAAAGAGAAGCTGCTGAAGGAGTGTGAACGGTTGGAGAAGAAAGACACGACTTCGGAACGAGCATTTAAGGTCAACGCTGGACGTTTCAAGGGCAACAAGAGGAGTGGTCGCAAGTGGAGCGATCAGAAGAAGAACTCTAGTGGTTTCCAAGGCAAGTGTTTCAAGTGCAACAAAGTTGGGCAAATGAAGCGGGACTGTCAAGAGGGAACAACAGACGGCGATGCGGTATTTGCTGTAAGCACAGAACGTGTAAACGGATGGTTGATCGACAGCGGTGCGACCGCACACATGACCCCGCACCGTTCTGATCTGTTCGAGTATGAGAACGTGAATAGTGGCATCGAAGTAACAATCGCTGACGGAAAGAAGCTGTAGGTCACTGGCTGTGGTACGGTACGCTTGATTGGACTGGACGGTAAACGGATTATGATGGTTGAAGTTCTTCACATACCGGGTCTCGATCGGCGTCTGTTGTCAGTGGGAAAGCTCGCGGATCGTGGACTGAACGTGGAGTTTCAGCGATCCTCATGTGTTATATGGGGCACGGCTAGCGCAATTGCAAAGGGTAAGAAGGTGGGCAAGGCGTACATATTGGACTGTGAACAAGAAGAAGCTCGATTCGTTCAGTACGCCGAGGCTGGCAGCAAGTGAGAGCTTTGGCACGCTCGCATGGGACATTCCAACCAGGATGCTCTGGATAATACAAGGCATGCCACGAACGGTATTCCGGCTGTTGGTCAACCGCCCCAGTCTTTGTGCGGCGGATGCATGAAGGGAAAGCAAACGGTGGCTAAATTTTCGCATTGTTCCAGCTCGAAGACGTCGCGCGTTCTTGAGCTCGTCCACACGGATATGATGGGACCAATGAATAATCCTTCGAAAGGTGGTGCCAAGTATGTCCTGACGTTCGTGGACGACTACTCGCGCTACGTTGTGGCCTATTTCTTGAAAAAGAAGAGCGAGGTGGCCACTAAGCTTAGAGAGTTCATGACTTTCTATGAGAATCAATGGGGAGAGCGCATGAAGTGTTTACGATCGGATAATGGAACGGAGTTTGTGAACCAGATATGTATGCTGAATGGTATCGTGCATCAACGGACTGTCCCGTATAGTCCTTGGCAGAACGGATGATCCGTACCATCATGGAGAAATCTCGAAGTATGCTACACTACAAGGGCGTTTCAATGGAGTGGTGGGCTGAAGCAGTCAATACTGCGGTATATCTGAACAACCGTTCCACGAACACGCAAAACACAACTGTGACACCGTTTGAGCTATGTTTCAAAGTGAAACCTACGCTAGATCACCTGCGCGTATTTGGTTCTCGCGGCTACGCCCATATAGACAAGGCAAAGAGGACAAAGCTTGAACCTAAGAGCTTTAGGTGTCTGCTGCTTGGATACACAGAAAACGTCAAGGGTTACCGTGTCTATGACTTGGACGCTTCCAAGATCAAAGTGTGTCGCTCAGTAAAGCTGGACGAGCGTGAGGTGGGTGGTATTTACGATACACTACCTGCTCAGATCGAAACAGTTATTCATGTTAGCACAGACGCCGATGATGAAGTCACGCTCGCACCAGTGGAACTTCAACCCGTCGAAGCGGAACCCATGGAAGGCGTTGAGAACGACGCACCGGATGTAGAGATGGAGAGCATGCAACCGATACAGGACGCTATACCGCCGCTGCTGATGCCACAAGAACGGTCAGCTCCCACTGGATTTGAGTTGGAACCGTACCGTGGACAACCGACTATCTTCGAGGACGATCAAGTGGTGTTCCATACCCCTAGAGACCGTTTTAGAAGTTCCCGGGAACCAGTCTTCCTTCTTGAAGAGGGAACGGACGCAGAGGAAGAACGGAAGTCGGAAGGAAGAGATGGACCGTCCTATCCGAAGCGTGCCAGGATCGATGAAGACGGCCTTATTGCTGAAGCCGTCCTCGCGTACGCAGCAAGCATTGACACAGTGGATCTTCCTACAACATACGCTCAGAACTATGTGTGCCAGCTGAACAAGGCCATTTATGGATTGAAGCAAGCTGCAAGTGCCTGGAACAAGACCATTCATCGTGTATTTCTCGACTACGGTTTCAAAAGCTGTGGTGCGGACCAATGCGTCTATGTCAAGCGCTCCAAGAACAGTTTTATTTACGTCTGCCATTACGTCGATGATATGATCATTGCGGCAAAGACTAGTGATAAAATTGATGACGTGATAAACGCACTCAAAAATGCCTTCAAGATGAAAGAGCTTGGACCGGCGAAGTTTATTCTGGGAATGGAGATCGACCATGACATGACTTCTGGAACGCTTATGATCAATCAAACGCGATACATCGATGATGTGGCGAACCGGTTTTGGGCAAGAAAACGCTAGGACGGTGGACAACCCGCGTGCAACCGGTCTAAAGTTGTCAAAGTCGCAATCGCCAGCATCGGATGCAGAATGAAGCAAGATGCAATCAAGACCTTACCGTTCCTAATTGGATGCCTGCTGTACATCACGACGTGTACTTGCCCGGACATTGCATTCGTAGTAACGCAACTTTCTCGTTTTCTCAATAATCCTGAGCAGCAGTATTGGAGTGCTGCTATACGTGTTCTACGCTTCTTAAAGACGACCCACCAGCACGTGATCATCTACAAAGGTGGTACTAGCAGCGTCACAGCTGAAGCCTACTCGGATGTGGACTGGGGATCTAATCTCGACGATAGGCGTTCTGTCTCGGGTGTTATGATCATGATTGGGAACGCTTCCGTGGTGTTCAAGTCTAAGTTCAACGAACGGTTGCCCTCAGCTCAGCGGAAGCTGAGTATATGGCCCTAAGCCTATGCGTGCAAGAAGTACTGTGGACGCGTGTGATGCTGACGGACATGGGAGTGGTACAAAGAAACGCTACCCAGATATGGGAGGACAATCAAGGAGCGATTGCTTTGTCCCAAAACGCTGGTTATCATGCTCGGACCAAGCATGTGGACATCCGTCAACACTTCATCAGAGAGACGATCGAAGACGGGACGGTTGCGGTAGCGTATGTGGACACCAAACATCAATTGGCCGACATACTGACCAAGGCGCTAGGATCCAAGACGTTCAAGTTCCTGCGCGATGCAAACAGTATCCAGTGCAAAGAAACCAAGCAGTAGCGGCGAGTGGGAGTGTTGAGAATACGCCGCTTCGTGCAGTCGTTTCATGTTGGGTTCATGGTGATGATTTCTGTGTCAGGGTGTTTCATGGTGGTTATTACGGAAGAAGGTTATGGATCGCGGTTACATGATGATATCACAGGATGTCGTTACATTAAGGCTTAGACTTAGCTAAGGGTAGTGAACTAAGGACCTTAAATATATTCACTTCGGCTTTTACATCCAACTACCCCAACATCTTTCCGCCTTCCTCGTCTTTTTCTTGTTCGGACAGTAGCGCGAAATTTGTGCCACCGTTCTGCATATATTGCAGACGCGCTTGTCCCCTACTGTGGCTGTCGATAAAGCTGCTACCGCCGCCTCCATCGCACGTATGACGCGCGTTTCGTTGTCCTCATATGTCTAAGAGAATTAGGTAATATCAAGCGCGTAAAACACTTTGTCAATGCGCCGCTTGTCTTACTGCGCCACCAGCACTGGCCTCATCTATAGGCTGGCATTCATCACCAGACTTTCGGGGATGAGGAAAGCAGGCGCGCCGGCGGCGTTTCGCACCGCGATCAGGATGAGATAGTGCGCGTGCTATGAGTCGCTATAGTTCTTTATCTTCCTGAACAAGCCGGATGCTAGCGATCTTGAGAACAATAACATAAAGGGGGTGCCATCTCCTCCATCGCGTAGTCGAGCGTGCGTTCTCTCCTCCACCGCTCGTCACGCAGATATCTAAATAATTTTTTCAGCTTCTATTTAATGACAACTGCCGAGCTTGCTAAGTTTGCAGTGCTTCGGCCACAGGTACCCGCAGGCTTCCTGCGACATCTCGATTTCTTCCTTGAACCCACGCCCCCAGTACTTATATCCGGCGCACAGGTCCTTATTTTTCTCCTTTTCAGAGATCGCGCGCATCTCCACTTTTACATCTTCGGACGGTGGTACTCGCTTCACCAGATTGATTGCTGCTTATCCGATTGTCGCACTCGTCACGGCCGGCACCACGCTCGTCCTCGCATTTGCATCTTGCAGCGCTGCGGCTTCTTCCCGCTCCATCACATCCTATCTACACAGCTTCTTCATTCTTCGCTCTTATCTCAGCGGCAGAGCTTTGCTGTGCTTGAAGTCACGCGAGCTTCAAGTCGACTTAATTTTGCCCAGGTACTGTGCTTCAGGACCGAGTCTTGCCTCTTGCGCGCGCTGCGCTTCGTTGGAACTCCTAGATTCCCTAAACAGGATGACTGTGCGGATTCTGTACGCTTCTTCAGCCAGCCGCACTTGTTCTGCGTGTGTCACGTCACGCTGGCGTTGCACCTCCCTCTCATTCAGCACTTGAGCTCGGTGCCGATGGAGGCTCTGCTCGCCTTCGGGTACAGATCGTATCGAATCGTCAGGCTGCTGCACCATGTTGCTTCGCTCGACTGCAATCGTGGCTACAAATCGGCGAGGTCGCGTGCTTGTCCTTATGCTTGTGTGGTCAGAGCTTCGCGCTGCTATTTTAGCAATTTGGCTTCGCTCATGATCTGCTGCTCGACTTGCACCAGCTATCCTTGAGCGGCCTGGATCGCTGCACGTTGCTCAGCTTGATGAGGTCCTTGCGCTTCAGCGACCACTGTTAAGTAAAATTTTTGCGCTTCCGCCGACACTCGAAGTGCTTTTTGAGCTGCCACAAAGTCCCGGTAGTGTGTTTTCCCTCTTGCAGGAGCACTCTTGTTTCGTGCGATAACTCGCGTTTCGTCGTCGAGGTCATCGACCTCCATTGAACGTACGTGCGTCATGCGCATGGACGGTGATCTGTTTAACTTTGATTACACCGGTGCTGGCACGGTCGCAGAAGTTTTCGCAGGCGGTCCGGAGGACGTCCTGGACGGTGTTGGCAGCCGGTGTCGCTCGCTCCCGAGCTTCGAGTCGCGCTACCGTTGCCGTCTGCATTTCCATCATCAGCGCTATCTCCAACCTGACGCTGTCTCCGCTGTCTCCGCTCAATATAACAGGAGATGCTTTGGCAGCCGTGAGTGACTCTGCGGCTGGAGAGATCTGCGCGATAGGCGTAGCTGCACGTCGCCTCGTATTGAGGTGCCGTGGCGCGATAAGTGTGTGGTCGCATGCTCGTCTGCACTCAAGCTTGAGCTATTGACCTGTTGCTTGCGTGTGCGACGAGTAGGGGAGCGAAGGGGTGCGCTTTCCGGGTAGTTGTGCAGATTGTGTATTATCTCGCACTACCCGCTAACCTCCTACAACCTATGCAAACTTTCGTGCTACCGTGCTACATTTCGTGCCATTGCGCGCTATATATGTGTCTTCACTACTACGACTACACAGTGTATCCTCTACACTCCAACTTCCAACAAGGGAATGGGTCGTGCTTTTTGTGACGAGAAAAAGATAATTACTTGATCGCTGCTATCTTGTAATTTCATCGCCTGCAGCATTACCATAATTGGCAGGAAGTTCCTAAAGTAGGCAAAATTTTATAATTTGTAGTCGCTGCTACGCCAAGGTAGATGTGTATTTGACAAAATCGGTTCTAATTTTTATTGATCGTTTTGCACGTCCATATCGTGTGTGCATATCAAAGGAGATTGTGCAGCCAATAGCCAAATATTGTATGATAATGAGAATATGTGTTATTCTTGCCATCGACTACGGCCATTCAGGCTGACACAAGGAATGAAAGTGCTGAACAATATGCAGAAGAACTCGAATGCAAGGCAATAGAGAAGCAGCAGATACATGATAAGAACATCGAAGTGCTGCTAGAACGGTCTGCCGCCAAATTGGTCGAGCATGTTGCGTCTTGTAAGACTGGGAACACCCGATCGGGGTTAGAATGAAGTATATCCGATTAAATGACTGTTGTGCAATTAGAGACATGACCAACGCACGTGACTATTTGCTCCAACCACACAACGCTAGCTGAGTCTTTCAAAGATGATAAGGATCATGTCGAGGGTTCAAAAATTTCAAAATTGAAGAGATATGTAGCAATGGCTTGGTCGATAAAAGAAAATTGATCGAAAACATGAAGCGAGACAACAATGTAAAAACGCTATTGTAGCAGACGTGACGTTTCGAGTTGCAGCGACTTAAAGTTTAATTTTTTGCCTTCGATAGGTATTTCTTAACTAATAAGGCAACACTACTAGAGATGGAATAACAAGATAGCAGTAATCGAGTGGTTGTCTTTTTCTCCTGACGCAAAGCACGACCCTTTCCCTAGCAGCGTTTCATCTAAACTGGAGCGTAAATATGAAGATTTCTTAGCTCCTTGGACTGAAAAACATTTTAAAACTTAATCCCCGGAGCTCGCTCCCATATCTCTATTATTATCAAAGACAGAAATATGTAGTATACTTATTAGATGTAAAAAGGAAGACACCTAGAAGCATTACGCATACAGTGAAATTAGTAAATTCAGGTAGTGAAAATAATAACTCCCAAAAATATACCACAAAATTTAAAAGGTTGCGCATTATTTAATGGGAATTGCTAAATTTACACCCCTTTTCCTTAGATTCACACCCTTCCCTTCAAAATGTTATGTATACAAGGTACGCAATCGCAGTTGGACAAAGACGAGTACTTTCTCTGCCACTTGGCTACGGGCAACATCTTGCGCGCTGCTGTAGCTGCTGGCACCCACGTAGGCAAAAACGTCAAAGCCGCGATGGAGTCGGGCGCACTTGTGACCAACGAGATTGTCGTCGGTATTTTAAAGGACGCCATCAAGAGTACGGAATGCCGTCCTTCGATTTAACTTGTCCTTTCGAAGTTTTGTACGCTCATTGTACAATAAGAGAGATTTGCTAGGGCACCATCACTCTCCATAAGAAGGGATGAAAGAATCCCTAACGGTTCAACACCAGCCAGTGTCATATTTCTGAAAGTATCGGCCTGCTCGCTATTTAGCTTTCTATGGGTCGACTGACCAGACGGATGGAGTGACAGATCGTAATTGTGGCATCCATCCATTACGTTTAGTTCCAATTACCCCCTTTTTGGAGAAATTTTCACTCGTAAGAAACGGGCAATCAATACGGCGTGAGCTGGTCTGGCGTTGGCGCTCTTTTCCAACCTTTGGTACGTTTACGGCACCTCGATTACATTTGAGGTAGACACGCTTTCCTGCAATCGAACTTTAAATCGTAACAGCATAGCCTTGGCCACGTGCGGATGTCTGCACAGTATCCATAAGTTGCTTTCCACTGGCATACTCAACCTCGGGAGGAGGAAGCATGTTATTTCGTGGTGCCGTATCATTAAACGCTGGAGGAGCTAGACCACAGGCGTGAGTGATATCTTAGGTAATTCTTACGCATTACTTGCCAATTAATGGTCTAGATTATCGAGTAATACCTTTGTCAGAAAACAAATCTTAAAATGAATAGGGATTTTATAAATAAGATTTTGAAGGAAGGGTGTGGATCTCAGGAAAAGAGGTGTGAATTTAGCAATTCCCTATTTAATAAACCCCACTTTTACTAAATACATCCCATTCATCACTCCCATAGTACACCACAATGTGATATGTACGACAAGCATCGCGCCCACCTACATCTGCACGGCTACTTTTGCAAAACAATCTGCATTTAGCGTACAAATATGGGTGCTTTAATCAGTCAATGTCGTGTCTGCGAAATGACCATTGCATCAGTAAAAAAGCAGCTTTGAGCAAGCAAACAGCCCCCTCAGCCCGTAACGCGCCATTGTTGCAGAATATGTATAACGATTTCTGTAAGCATGAGTGGACAAAATCACGAATTAAACATGTGTCGTGTCTGTTTAGCATTTTGTAGAGTGAACATTACGACCTCGTCGCATGTTGTTCCGGGAATCTATATATCGACGACATTGCTCGTTTGGGACTAAAGTAAAGACCGAAAACAAAGTTCGGGTTGCGGCACCTGGTGATTAGAGACCTTACACACCAAATCGGATGACGGAGAATGTAACGGGGTGAATCGTTACATAACAATTCATAAGAAATTGTTAATAGAATATAACTATAAGAGTTATATTCTCAGAATATTGTCATAAGGACAATATTCTGTAGCACTTCCAAGTAGTTCCTAATTGGTTGATATAGGCCATTATATCAACCAACGAAGACGCGCCACGACAGACGCACGCAATGAGTGGTGAGCAGATAACTGATTTACACATTTGTATTTAGACATAGTTAGATGAAGATAAATAGTGATCTATTGCAGACATTAACTATTATAAATACAGTTCTACTTTTTACTCTAACCGAGTACTCGCTTCTTCTTACCGTCTTCCTCTGCACGTACGAGTGTACGTGAAGTTACGAGGCACCGCCTTATTCTGTCATCAGAATAAGTAGCTTGTACTGTCACCAGTACAAGCTTCAGGAGTGCCCCGTTACACCTGGTAGCACTTCGTAGTCCGTCCAAGGACCGCGTTCACATCCAACATGAATATGTTGGATGATGAAGATGACCAAAGCTTTCACGCTACGCGTGACGGCTACTCCCATTTGAGCGATGTCGAATGGGATGCGGTTGAACGAATGGGTTCGACCATGGGCATCCATGCTGTTAGCGTCATGCTAGAGGCTCTCAATAGAGATGCCCAACATGCTACTATCGCCAAGTTCATTCAAAATGAACTTGACGCAGAACGCGAGAAAGTAGCCTTGCTTCACCAACAAGGTTCTCAACAAGCAGAGTTGTTGAGAGAACAAGGTGCTCAACAGTTTGAACTGTTGAGACAGCAGCAGGCTGCTGCTGGCGGGTCGATGCACTCGCGTCGGCCCGAGACTTTGAAGATTGACATCTCAAAGTATAGGGGGGTCGAAGAAGACTCCCTCTTGAGATGGTTCGTCGAATTGGATGACGCCATAAGGGCGCGTCGCATCGACGACGGGGATATGCAAGTTGCATTTGCCCAGTCAAATCTGGCAGGACGTGCCAAGACTTGGGCACTGGGGCTCAAGCTGCACGACCCATACGCGTTTGGGTCGTTGGAAGTCTTCAAGTCGCGGCTCAGACAAACGTTTGAACCGCCTAGAGCTGAGTTCAGAGCTCGAACCGAACTCTTGAAGCTCAAGCAGGGTAAGCGTGATGTGCACGCTTACGCTCAACATATACGACATCTCACGAGTTGTATAAGTTCCAATCCGGTGGATGAACACACGTTGGTTTCGGTGTTCATGCAGGGTCTTGCGGATGGTCCCGTCAAGACTCACCTGTTCCGGCTTGAACTAGATTCACTAGAACAAGCCATTTCAATTGCGGAGCAGGAAGACTTCAGTCTGAGACAGGCTCGCGCCAGCTCGACATCATATCGTCAACCGAGACGATATGACAACGGAGGTCCAGAGCCGATGGAACTCTGTTATGTAGAGAGCGAGAAGGCTCGCTCTACAGGCTACAAGAAGTTGCAGAGATGCAACAGATGTCAAAAGACAGGACACTACGCTTACGAGTGTAGTGCCCCTCGTCCAGTGTCTCGCGACACTGGGCGTAGTGACCGTCCACCCATGAGAAAGGGGCAGGGACGAGGGTCCGCAGTTGGTGCAAAGACGCAACAACGGGATGGACCGTCAAAAAACGGACAGGATCAGTAGGTGCGGAGCACCCTACTGATCCAGCAACGTCAAGAGAATTTGTAGGCCTCTTGATGAAGGTTGCTCCCAACACACAGACATTGTGCGTTGCTGCTCTAGGTAATGAGATCTCACTCATTACCTTGAAACTCGAAGTGACGAATAAGTTGTCCCTTCGAGCTCTAGTCGATTGTGGGGCGTCCAACAATTTTTGTGCGACGCCAATCGCTAGAAGATGGTCACTTTAAATTCAGTGAATGTGACACACCTCCTACGAGGATGACGGTACGTCTTGCGACAGGCGCATCCGTAACCGTCATGAAGCGTATAGTGAAGATTCACTATACGCTAGAAGATACCCAATACGACGATGACTTTATCGTATTGGATTTGGATGACAAATTTGATGTCATCCTTGGAATACCGTGGCTCAGAAGGTACGAACCACGGGTAAACTGGCAACATCGGACAGTAACGATGCCTGCCGCTTGTTCATCAGATGGCCATCTGATGAACGTTTTGGAAGCGTCCACAAGCGTGTGGATGTACTACGAGTGAGTGCGATGGCCTCACTTGTGGTACGGTCGTTAGTACGACTGCACAAAACCTTAGTGTACCAAACGGTTACACTTCGGAGCAAAGTTCCGGCGGCTGTGAGGAAACACAGGCTGCGCCGAAGGTCCACCACTCGAATAAGTCGGGTGGACTGGGACAAAGATGTATCCCTAGAGGGGAACATCTAGAAGAGAAACAATCGATCGCTCAGGTTAAGCGAAACGATAATCCTAGATCGACTGGAGAGTCTTTCGTAGAGGATCTCGCTGTGGTTGCGCAACCCCAGCTAGAGGAAGTAAAGGGAATAAGTCCCAAGATTACAAATACGGCGGAAATAAGTTCCCCGAAACCCGCGGGAATAAGTCCCCGGGAAGACGAAGGAATAAGTCCTTCGAAGCCTGAGGGAATAAGTCCCCAGGAAATGACAGAGACATTGAATGTCATAGTCAATAACGGATCATGTGTAGGCGCTTATACACTTGATCTGATTGCGCCTCCGAAGTTAACTTCGGAGATCACTCAGTTGCCAACGCTCGAACATAAAAGATTCTTGCGTGATCTGCGTAGTGGCAAAGTCAAGCAGATCTGCATACTCGTCGCTGAAGACGAGTATGTAACCGACATAAGGTCAGCAACAGTGTTTACTGAGAACGAGAGAGTTCTCAGTAGTTCATCTATGGACGAGAGTGTCCTAGATGAAAAGACACGAATTGAGCGATATGAGTCCCAATCATGGGAATCGCTCAAGGAAAATCCTCTCTATGAAGATTTGGTTGAATTCAAGGATGTATTCCCTGAAACTGTTCCGTGCGAATTACCGAAGGATAAAGGTATTCGACACGAAGTCGAGCTTAAACCAGGCTCGAAGTACTGTGTCATGAAGCAGTGGCCACTGCCTCGTGAACAAGTACTTGCGATCGACAAGTTCTTTGCCGATCGTTTAGCAGCAGGCCATGTGAGGGAATCAACTTCCCCACATAGCTCTCCGACCTTCTGTGTGCGAAAAGCAACAGGAGGGTGGCGGATAGTGCACGCGTTTAACAAATTGAACGCTGCAACGGTACCGGCTCAGACGCCGATACCGAGGAAGGACGTAATCATTGATGGTATGTCAAAGAGTACCATCTTTTCGTCCATGGATTTGATGGATGGCTTCTATCAAATCCTAATGCGGGAACGGGATATACCCTATACCGCAGTTAGCACGCCTAGCGGCATGCTCTGGGAATGGCTAGTAATGCCACAAGGGCTCAGTAATGCCCCTGCCACGTTCAACAGGTGTGTATCACATCTGTTGAGGCCAGTACGAGAATTCGCGCCGAGTTATTTCGATGACGTATTCATCCATAGTCGAGCTATGGATGGAAAGTCGGACGTTGAGGTTCACAAGTACCACGTCCGACAAGTTCTTACAATCATGCGAAAGCATCAATTGTATGCAAACCTCAAGAAGTGTATATTTGCAGCAAGCGAAATACCACTTCTTGGGTGCATCGTTGGTAAGAACGGTGTACGTCCTGATCCCGAAAAGATCAAGGCGATCACCGACTGGCCCGTGCCGGTCGATGTCAAAGGTCTTCGAAAATTCCTTGGGCTAGCGGCGTATTTGCATAAGTATTCACGCAATTACGCCG